CTTAATAATGAATTTGCTGACTGATATAGACTGTAATTTGAGGGGATGGGGAGGGTGCACTTAACACAGCAAGTTAAGCCTCTTCCTAAGGTGCCAACATCACATGTGGGCATTGGCTCATTTCCTGGCGGCTCCAGTTCTAATCCAGTTCTTATGGCCTGGAAAAGCAGTGGAGATGGGCTAATGTCCTGGGGTCCCTGTATCCACATGGGAAACTTAGAAGAAACTTCTGGCTCCTGGCTTTGGATTGGTTTAGCTCCAGTCATTGTGGCCACTTGAGGAGTGAACCAGCAGATGAAAGGTAGCTCTCTGTGTGTCTCTTTCTCTACCTTTCAAATAAAAACCGAATAAATTTAAAAAATGATAATAATTTTGATAAAGAATAAATATAAAAGAATAAATGTAAAGGAATGAATAATATGTTTTAAAACTATTCATTTATTTGTAGTCTTAGCACATATGAACATATATCAGAATACAAGTGTATTTTCATGAAAGATGGAATTAAAAGATAAGTATTTTTGTTTAAAATGTCTTGAAGCACATGCTTCCCACTTTTTCAAATGTGTATTTCCATTCAGTTAAAATCTGCTAATTCATTTTTATTTAGACATTTTATTTTATTTATTAGAAAGGCAGAGAGAGAGAGAGAGATGAAGAGAAATCTTCCATCCTCTCCTTCCTACCCAAATGCCTGCAACAGGCAGGGCTGTATCAAGCTGAATCCAGGAGCCAGGAGCTCAGCTGGAGTCTCCCTTGTGCTTGGCAAGCGACGCAGACCTGAGCCATTACCTGTGCTGCCTTCCAGAGCACACGAAGGCAAGAGGCCAGAAATAGAAGCAGAGGCAGGACACCATCCCAGGTACTCTGACCTGGGCTGCCGGTATCCCAGGGGGCATCAGCTGCTGCACCAAATGGCCACTCCTATTCCTTGAGCCTTCTGAATACCCCTTGGAGACGCAGGGCTCATAAAGCCCGTGTCATCAGTGCAGAGATATTAACACGAGCAATTCATTTCCTCTTCTTTTTAAGCAGAACTTCCATGTTAGAAAGCACTTTAAACAAGGGCTAGTCTATGGCTTAAAAAAAAAAGGATTTGTTTCATTTGAAAGAGAGAGAGGGAGAGTCAGAGCACGAGAGCTTCTGTCTGATTTCACAGGCAGCAGCTTAACCCACTGTGCCAGAACGCTGACCCTAACTTATGCTTTACTGAATGAGCTCTCTATTGTTTTTCAGGTTTTATAATTGCAAACAATACCAAGATAAGTATCTTGAAGCATTTTCTTATTGTGGAAAACCTCAAACTCACAAAAGCTCAAAGGTGCATGGCGGGCTAGGCTCGACTTAGTACATACACCAGCATCCCGTTTCAGGGCGCCAGCTTGAGGCTCAGCTACTTGCCTTCCAGTCCAGCTTCCTTAGAAAGCACCTGCAAGGCAGTGCAGGGTGGCTCAGCTGCTTAGGGCCCTGCCGCCCACAGGAGTCCTGGATGTACCGACTCCTGGCTTCAGCTTGGTCTAGACCTGGCTGTTGTGGTCATTTTAGGGGTAAATCTCCCTACCTTCCAAACAATTTTTTTAAAATCTTAAGGAGAAAAAAAAAAAAAGCACCTCAGAGACAATCCATTAAGTCCTCATGGTTTCCAAAATGACTGCATTTTCCCCCGGATGTCTGTTTGATTGGTTATAAGATACTTGTCTCATGTTTTATCTTCCTCCAGTGTCTTTCAAATGTTGCTGCATGTCTTCTGTTTTAAACTGATGCTGTTGTCTCCACCATGAGTATTTTGGTTGGTTTGTTGTTGTTGTTTGCCTAGATGCCCAAGGAACTTTTTTTCTTTTTTCTTTAAAATCCAATCATTTGACTGGAACCGCAGTGTTCAAGCCAGCCTCTCCCATGTGTGGGCCTGGAATGTGAGGTTCATCTCTTCCACAGTTTAATTCCTGGAGGAGTTTTTAGCCTGGGAACCCTCTACTTTCTCTGGGTCAGAAACAAGACAAGTAGGAATTTTGTTTAAGATCTATTTTATTTTTTATTTTAAAGAGTTACAGAGAGAAGGAGAACTAGAGAGAGAGAGCTTCTATCTGCTGGTTTACTCTCCAGATGGCTGCAAGAGCTGGAGTCAATCAAAGCCAGGAGCCAAGAGCTTTTTCCAGGTCTTGGCCTATCCTTGGCTGCTTTCCCAGGCTATAAGCAGGGAGCTGGATCAGAAATGGAGCAGCCGGGATGCAAACTGGTACCTACATGGTATGTTGGCACCTCAGGCAGAGGCTTAGCCTACTAAATCATGGCACCGACCCTGGGCATTTATTATTATAGTTATTATTAATGTATCTGCCTGGAAGACAGAGATGCAAAGACAAGGAGATGATATCACATCCTCTGGCTGTTTCCCCAAACAACAGAGATCCAGGGGCTCAGTCAGGTGTCTTATTTGGGGGGCAGTGATCCAATGACTTGAGTCAACACCTACCCCTCCCCAGGTGTACATCAACAGGCAAATGGAAGACTGGGAACAGAGCCAGGACTTGAACCCACATGGGATGCAGGTATTGAAAAACGATATTAACTGCCGCGCTAAACATCCACCCTAGAAATAGGAACTTAACACTCATGAAGTTAGCAAAAACCTGGTGGGAAAGCTGATTGTGCTTAAATATCATGACTAGGAAAGGACTCTTGTCAAATCTCATGCAATCTAGAGGAAAAGACGAAACCTCTTCTCACGGTGAATATCAAGAAAGACACACCCAGAAAGCAGGTGAAAACTGTAATCTGATATTCAGAACAAGCTGCAAGAAACTTTTTAAAGATTACAACTCCTAAAGAACAGCCTAGATCAACATGAGAAAACCTCAGCGATGAAGGGCCTGGAAAAATGGGATGTCTGAAAGAAGATAACAGCACTAGGAAAGAATTAGAAATGAAAGAAAAAAAAATCAGATCATACCTATAAGACACTTGGCCCCGGCCCCACCCGCCTCCAAACACAGGCTCTGTAGGCACAGCAAGCGTTTGCCGAACAATAGATTGAAACAGGAGTTTGGTCCTGACCGTGACTCGTCAGCCTCTCCCATATCTGCTGCCGGTACTCACATTACAGCCTTCAAATCGCTATGCGCTTAGGCAAGCACACAGCCCAGGACACATGCGACTGTAATGACGAGCCTACTCCAATCAGAACACAGATGGGGCGCCAGCCTGGGCTTGGGGCCACTGAATGCCTTCTACTCTCCGTCAAGATAAGAAGTCAAGCATGTCTGTATGAAGCCTGTCTAGATGAGGGGCATCCTGCTGAGATCCAGAGAGGGAGGCAGAAGACCTGGTCCCCAGGCACTCTGTGCATCTCTGTTAGATGGTGACCCCAAGGACAGGTGTGGCTCAGTGTCTCCCTCCACAGGGGGCTCTCACAGAGGAGGGACATGACCCTGTGGCCCTTTGGGAGTTCACACATTTTGGCTGTCTGCCCACAGCGTCAGAGCATGGCCATTTGCTTGCCTTCAGAGTACACAGTGATCGATCCGGCATGGGTACTGATGTAGCTTGGTACCTGGGAACAGCTTCCTCCCCCTCCCTTATTCCCTGCCCCTTCCATCTGTGGCTGCCCCCCAGCGCCACCCGTCTCCAAACACAGGAGAAAAGAGAGGGAAAGTTGGAAGTATCTGTCCCACCCAGCTTCCCCCCCACCATACCTTAACCCTCCCCACCCTATTCACTGGTCCTCATGGGCAAGCATCCCTGTTAACTATGTAAACAACATCAAAAGTGAAATAAAATATGTGGGCTAGCAAGCTCCAAGGTGTGAGTGCACAGGGTCACTTCAGCCTTGTTCCTGGAAAAACGGGCATCTGAAGGCAGAACGAATGAGAGGGCGTGCACCCAGCCTGGGGTGCCTGAGAGATGGTGCTGGTTCCTTTCCCAGGGGTGAGCAATGCTTCGAGAATCCAGGACCTTCCAGGATGAGTAGAAATCATGTAATGATCAATACAGCATCCCCATCACGAGGCGACCTCGAGGAAGCCAAATCCCTTGCAATCCACCCAGAGGAGGCTGCAGTTCTCATTAGGAGCGAACACCTGCTCCTCCCTCTTGGTAGACGCAGCGGGAAAGAGCGTTCTTCTGCCAGCAGTCAGCCAAGCTCTCTCCCAAGACACTGCCATCAAGTCAGTAAGCTGACCAACCTCTTCGGTGGAAGTGACTTTGTGCATTTAGGTTGGGTTAGGGAGTTGCTAACAAGCATAGGCAGTCTGATGTGTGTGTGTGTGTGTGTGTGTGTGTGTGTGTGTGTGTGTGTGTGTTTAGTGATCTTTTTCTGATTATAAAATGCACACATGTTTAGTGTCGAAAAAGTGGAAGGATACAAACAAGTCTAAATGGGCAATGAGCAATCACTGGAAACCACCACTCAGAAAAACCTGCTGGGCTTTGAAAGTCTCTCTCTCTCTGTCTCCTTGGAGCTGTGCATATGAGAAAGACTGTCTCTATCAACATCAAGAAAAGTGCCCAGCGGCTCCTGCCTGGGAAGGCAGAGGGGGAGAATTAATTTTCCCTTTCCCTGGATATTCCAGTAAACTGTCTCCCCTTATAATTGCCATGAGTGTCACTTCTGCTTAAAGGTGCTCTCCCCAGACGCAGGCTGAGGGAAGGTGGAGTTATCAGGTAGGGGACCTCACTGAAGGCGTTGATGGCAGATGCCTGCTGGCTACAACTTCTGTCTGATTACATCTGTTTGCATTGTCTTTTTGCAAATTGGAAAGTAGTGTGTGTGGATGGGGGAGAGGGGACAGGGAGGGGTTCAAGGCTTGCTAGATAGAGATATACAGGGTGCTACAGCTCAGTCCCAGGGGCCCCCATGCAGTTATTTCTGGTATTAGAGGGTGGCGAGAACAGGGCAGGGAGGTAGAAAGACAGAGGCTATGATAATCTAGTTAACTCATCTTGCTATGTATTTTAGCACCAGTGTACAAATACTTGTATTTGGAAATCATTTCTTTTCCTAGATGTCAGTGACTGCTCCAGCCAGCCCTGCCTCAATGGTGGAACATGTGTAGAAGGAGTCAACCAGTACAGATGCGTTTGTCCCCCGGGAAGGGCAGGGAGTCGATGTCAGCATCAGGCCCAGACCGGTAGGTCACATCTGTGGGGCTGGAGGAGGATGTTCTGCTGCAGGCCCCAGGCCAGCAGGTGCACTGGGAAGCTCAGGCCCAGCGGGAAATGGGGGCCTGGCGTCTCTCCCTCAACCATTTTGCTGTTTTTTTAAGCGTTTTTTTTTCTTTTTTAAGATTTTAATTTTTGGGACTGGCGCGATAGCATAATGGTCAAAGTCCTTGCCTTGAACACACAGGGATCCCATATGGGCTCCAGTTCTAATCCCAGCAGCTCCACCTCCCGTCCAGCTCCCTGCTTGTGGCCTGGGAAGGTGATTGGGGACGGTCTGAAGTCTTGAGACTTTGCACCCATGTGGGTGAGGCTTCTGGCTCCTGGCTTCAGCTCAGCTCAGCTCCAGTCATTGCAGTTGCTTGGGGAGTGAATCAGTGGATGGAGGATCTTCCTCTATGTCGCTCTCCTCTCTGTATATCTGACTTTCCAAAAAACTTTAAAAACTAAAATAAGTCTTTTTTTTTTTTTTTAGGAAGTAGAACAGCTGGGATTCTAACCTGCATCCATGTGGCATGCTGGTATGGCAGGCAATTGTTTTACCCACTCTGCCACAATGTAGGGTCAAAGCCTTTTAAAATAGAAGCTCAGACTTTGTATGAGTCCCATCCTATTCCAGTGTGCTCTGTCCTCTGTCTGTTGCAGTCGGCCCTGGATTGGTCAGCTTGGTTCATGGTTAATGGATTGTCTTTCTTTTCTTTCTTTCTTTTTTTAATATTTTCTTTTTATTTGAAAGGCAGATTTACAGAGGAAAGGAGAGACCGAGTTGTTGCATCCACTGGTTCACTCCCCAGATGGCCACACTGGCTGAAGCTGAGCTGGCCTAAAGCCAGGAGCCAGGACCCTCTTTCAGGTCTCCCACATGGGTGCAGGGTCCCAAGGCTTCGGGCCATTCTCTACTGCTTTCCCACAAACAGGGAGCTGGAAGTGGAACAGCTGGGACATGCATTTCTCGTGCTGGCAGAAGGAGGATTAGACTATTGAGCCACCGTGCTGGCTCCTTGCCTTTCCTTTCCATACTCCAGTACAGCTGTGTGAGAAGGGGCTGAGTCCTAGTCTTGGCTCTTTTCCAAGCCCATGGCAGGTGCATCAGGGCCTGGCAATGAGCATGTCTTCTTCTTGCAGCAGCCCCCGATGGTGGCATGGCCAGCGACTCTGCTTTCAGCCGAGCGCCACGCTGTGCACAGGTAGACCGGGCACAACACTGCAGCTGCGAGGCCGGATTTCATTTGAGTGGTGCCGCAGGCGGCGACAGCATCTGCCAGGGTAGGTGCAGGCCCTGGGGCAAGGAATGATGGCTAAAACAGAATGCGATGGGGCAGGGGTTGGCCAGGGGCACCCAGGGTGTCCAGGGACCACTGGAAAAGCCCTGCTTACCTTGAGTTAAGGCCGATGTTGGCTTGGTGGTTGCTACGATAGAGTTGAGGCAAAGAGCTCAGGGGCAGCCTTTGGAAAGCAGGCTGGGAAATGCAGCCTGGGGTGGCCCATGTATTCTTCTGGGGAATCAGAGGCCATGGCAGGGAGGAGCTTGAAGCTGGGTGCTGGAGCCGGGTCCCCACAGCTGGGCAGGGCCATGGGATTCAATTCCTGGTTCCTTTGTCATCTTACTTTTTTTTTTTTTTTTTTACCAGCTCACTTTTTGCTAACCTCTTGTAATCACCCAAGTTCCTTCCAAAACAATTCAACCCTAAGCCCAGTTCATTTGATGCTAATAGGTGCATCTTTTAAAAATATGTATTTATTTTTATTGGAAAGACAGAATTATAGAGAGAAAAGAAAAGACAGACAGAGAGAAAGATCTTCCATCTACTTATTCACTCCCAAATGATCACAATGGCTAGGACTGGGTCAGTTCAAATTCAAGATCTAGAAGCGTCTTCCAGGTCTCCCACATGGGTGCAGAGGCCTGAGGATCTGGGTAATCCTCCACTGCTTTCCCAAGTGCATTAGCAGCGAGCTGGATTGGAAGTGGAGCAGCCAGGATGCAAACTGGGAAGCCAGTGTCACAGGTGGAGGTTCCTAACAGGTGCATCTTACAACAGCAGACACACACGAGTCTCTCCTTCCATTCCTGAAGATGGAGTTGCACGGAGGCCAGCCCTAACTTGGCAGCCTCTTCAGGGTCTGCTGTGCTGGTGCTCAACCTTAGACGAGAGGAACCCCACCCTCCAGGATCTGCCTTCAGGGCTCCCAGGCTCAGGAAAAAGGGGGGCACATTTCCTCTTCCCAGAGACTCTGCCGGCAATAGGGCTCCCCGAGAGCAGCAGGCCCTGCCACTTGGCTAGAGCCACAGCTGCTGGAGAATGCAGCATCCTATGACCCTGGCTGTGTGGCTCCTGGAGTCTCAGTGGGCACTTCTGTCCCCAGATGTGAACGAGTGTGAGCTCTACGGGCAAGAGGCGCGGCCCCGACTCTGCATGCATGCCTGTGTGAACACCCCAGGTTCCTACCGCTGCAGCTGTCCCAGCGGATACAGGGCACTGGCTGATGGGAAGAGCTGTGAAGGTAAGTGCGATGGTGATCCTTTTCTCTTCACCCTGCTACTCCTGTGACAGCACCCTTCCCCAAACCCAGGACTTCACAGTTGAGGAGTCAGGGGAGTGGAGGTGGTTAGAGAAGTATATCAGATTCATTCCATTTTTTTAAAGATTTTTAAATTTTATTGTAAAGTTAGATATATATACAGAGAGGAGGAGAGACAGAGAGGAAGATCTTCTGTCTGATGATTCACTCCCCAAATGGCTGCAACAGCTGGAGCTGCGCTGATATGAAACAGGAGCCAGGAGCCTCTTCTGGGTCTCCATGCGGGTGCACGGTCCCAAGGGTTTGGGCCATTCTTGACTGCCTTCCCAGGCCACAAGCAGGGAGCTGGATGGGAAGTAGGGTGGCCAGGATTAGAACCAGTGCCCATATGGAATTCCAGCACATGCAAGGCAAGAACTTTAGCTGCTAGGCTATCGTGCTGAGCCCTCATTCCATCTTTAAAACTTCACCAAAAAAGAGAGCCAAAATCAGATTATATCATCATGTCCATAAATAGGAAAATACATTGTTAACCAACCTGATGGGCAGTCTCTTCTGACCTTATATCACCTTGGAGATGGACAGATCTCTTCCATGCACTCAGCAAAGCCTCTAGACAGGGCTAGACTCAGAGGCAGAGCAGCCATCCAGCCTCCCCTGTCCTTTAATTTGGAGGTGCCCGTGAGATTCCAAAACCCTGTGGAAGCACCTACAAGGGATGACACTCAACGTGTGCTCAGGCTCCCCAGGACTGACAGAACACCCATAAGCTGACAAAAGTTGGGGAGGACTGTTAAAATGTTAGAATGGAAGGGACAAGAAAAAGAGGTTACCAAGCCTGACAGAGTTCAGTGATGGAGGACTGAGCCACTCCCAGTACCACATCCAGGCCAGGGTGGTACAAGGGGAAATGAACACCCCAGGCCACCTGGCTTCCCATGCACCAAACCCAACCAGAAGCTGGAGCGCCTGGGAGCCAGGAGATGGAAATGCAGACTGAGCAGCTGCCCAGGAACAGAGGCTGCTCTGTGTGTGTGTGTACAAACACAAAATAGCTGGCTCAGCTTTCACCCCAGTGCAGAATCCTTTTAGGAGTTAGTGACACTCTGGAGGATTGGGTGGAGGCTGCTGAGACTGCTGGCAAGTGTAAGAGCATGTTCTTGTGCAAGGAATGCTTGCAGTAGTGATGGGTCACACCCAAGGGGGCAGGACAGAGGGTGTGCGTGACAGTGGCGCTTAGAATGGAGAGAATCCCCATAGCAGTCGACATACTTCCCATTGGACAAGTCTCAGCAACATGGGAGTCTCTTGCTACCCCACGTCCTCTTAGGGCCAAATACACATACAGACATAGCTATGCCCAATCTCTACATGAGCTCAGAGTGAGAACACAGATTGCAGGCGTGAAGGCAAAGTGGTGTCTCCTAGTGCTGGCATTGATGCCAGGCCCTGGAACCCCAAAGTTGCTGTGATCCTTTGTGGAGCATATGGGTGTGCTAAAGCAGACCTACCTCCTGCCATTAGGAGGATGCACAGGCCTGCAGCTGCCAGCTGTACTTTCTCCCTGGACAGAAGACACAGAGGGGAGCTCAGCTGCCTTCTTCCCCCACAATGGCATTCAATTCCCAGGGGAAAAGTTGAAGAAAAAAGGCAAAGGGCTCCTCCAGGGACTGGCATGGGGATGTGAGTGGAGAAGTGGCTCCACAGTAAAGTCTGACTGAGCTCGGGGGAGTGGGTCACCTGCGGCTAGAGTAGAAGATGGCATTCAGACTGTCCCCCCGCCCACCTACCATCCACCATCCAGCCATCCATCCGTCTTCCCTCCCATGGCATTAGTCATGAAGGTCTACTTAGGGTTACTTGGAATTGGAAAGAGGCAGCCTCCAGTTATAGAGCCTCTTGGGATGCCCTAAAGGGACAGAGAACTCCTGTCTGTGAAGGTGTGGGGCCATCTGCACTTGGGGCTGAGGCCAGAGGCTTTCTGGAAGATTTGCATCTTGGAGTTTGATGACAACTATGGGAGAGCAGGCTTGAGAGCATCTTTTGGATGGAGAAGGAGGCAGGTCCCAGGGAAGCGCTGGGCCTGGGAATACTCATTTTGTATCTACCAGAACCCTCGATCACCCATCCCATCTCAAGGGACTAGGACAGGACTCCAAGCATGAGCCATTCCCAGCATGTGTGTGCAGTGCAGAACCTTGATCCCAAACATTTAATGAATTCAGGGTCCTGCCTCAACAGGATGAGCTGGGTATCTGCAGTGTGCGCATGGCGGAGCCTTTCTTGTGATCCCATCTGGGGTGGAGGGAAAGTCACCCTCGTTGTGTGTCCCAAATCTCAGATGTGGACGAGTGTGTGGGCCCGCAGCCCGTGTGCCCCCGGGGGACCACGTGCATCAACACCGGGGGCAGCTTCCAGTGCGTGAATCCTGAGTGCCCCGAGGGCAGCGGCAACGTGAGCTACGTGAAGACGTCTCCATTGTGAGTATTCCCCAGGGCTGCCCGTGGACATGAACGTCCCTCCCACCTACCCTGCCCCCCCCCCCCCCCCCCCCCCCCCCCGCCCAGGCTTCTCTGTATGACTCATCTGGGTGCTTCCTAGAGGCGTGGGGAAGGTGAGGGCCAGGGAGTCCAGCTTCTGTGAGTTGCTGCCCCCTGCTACATGGCAGCAGACGGGCTCGGAGCTGTCCCAGGTTTGGTGGGTGGATAGAGGGGGTACATGGGAGAAGCTGCTGGTGATGTTACGTTGGTAGGTCTCCCAGCAGCCCAGGAGTCAGTGTATGTCACACCAGCCTGGGAGGGGATCATGGTCTCACGTTCCCATAGCTGGTAACCAGTAAACTCCAGACCTCTGTGCACTCGACATTTTATCACTCCACTCTTCCAGAGCACTAAGAAGGTTCAACATATGGTTTAGCTTCAGCACTTCAACAGGAAATATAATTAGTTCTTTTTTTAAGTTTGTTTTTATTGGAAAGACAGATATAAAGAGAAGCAGAGACAAAGATCTTTCATCCGCTGGTTCACTTCCCAGGTAGCTGCAATGGCCAGAACTGAGCCAAAGACAGGAGCTTCTTCTGGGTCTCACACGTGCATGTAAGGGCACAAGGACTTGAGTCAACTTCCACTGCTTTCCCAGGCCTTAAACAGGGAGCTGGATGGGAAGTGGAGCAGCTGGAACATGAGCCGGTGCCCATGTGGGATGCTGGCATTTAGAGGTGGAGGGCTAGCCAGTTGAACCAACATGCCAGCCGCATAGAATTTTCTTTAAAAATTGGGATAAGGCTGTTGAAGTAGAAAAACTCTAGCCATCACAAAGCACAATTGGTTTCTTCCCTCCCACCATTGCCCCCCCTGCAACAAACAAACAAACAAAAAACAAACCATTGTAATAGAACTTAACTATCTTTCAAATACAGTGAATTACCTTCACCAGTTTAGTTGCTTGAGTTGCTCTTTGAACTAAAGCAGCTCAGAAGTGACCAGGAAGTCAGTGGTGCTGAAGCCTGGCCATTATTAGAGTGAAGATACCAGCGTCTTTCCCAAGGCATCGCTGAGTGAAAGGGACAGGAGACCTGTCCATCAGAGCCTTTTTGAGACCCTGGATTAACAGCCAGATGTGATATTTGAGCAGTCTAATAGTCTAAGTGCAGAAGCACCCAGTCTGATAAACCGTACTTAGGTTTGATAAGGCAGATAAATAGTCTAAGTATTTCCAGAAAACCCTGGTTAAGAAATCAGGGCTTCCCGCTCAGCTAATGAACACTGCCTCATCTGTGAAGTTCACCACATATGTAAAGTTTGCATTGCTGGGGATTGCCAGCTACCTGCTGGAATCCCACTGCCCAAACAGAAAAGGCACCTGTTGGCGCCCAGGCATGGCAGGCTTTATTGTCCCCTGAAAACCACACATACATACATGCACACACACATATCCACACATGACGCATGCACCCAATGGTGGGTCAAAGCAGTGCCCACTGTCCTGGCCATGGCTGCCACAGGCACATCCGCTTGCCGATAGCTCTGGATCTCCTGGGTGAGTGACCCGTGGCTGAGCAAAGGCAGGTGTGGTAGTGGGTTACAGCAACCCCAACTGATGGCCTCCATTTTGCCTCTCTGCTCCAGCCAGTGCGAGCGCAACCCCTGTCCCATGGACAGCAGGCCCTGCCGCCACCTGCCCAAGACCATCTCCTTCCACTACCTCTCTCTGCCCTCCAACCTGAGGACCCCCATCACGCTCTTCCGCATGGCTACGGCCTCGGCCCCTGGCCGCGCAGGGCCCAACAGCCTGCGATTTGGAATCGTGGGAGGCAACAGCCGTGGCTACTTTGTGATGCAGCGTTCGGACCGACAGACCGGGGAGTTGATCCTTGTGCAGAGCCTGGAGGGGCCGCAGACGTTGGAGGTGGATGTTGACATGTCTGAGTACCAGGACCGCTCCTTCCAGGCCAACCATGTGTCCAAGGTCACCATCTTTGTGTCCCCTTATGACTTCTAAGGGACCCAGGAGGGCACACAGACATGGACATCCGGGCTGATCTCTTATCCCTGAAGACTCTGCCATGGGTGCTGAATGTGACAGATGTCTGGCCCCTCCCACCTGGCCCTGCCCACTTGGCTGTTCACCCTGGCTTCTAGGGTAGCTCTACCCTAGGGCGTGGTACAGGAAGGTAGCCACAGTACCCGAGCTGCCGCCATCATCATGGGGTATTTTTTTGTCCTGCTTTAAGGCCCTTCTTCCCTTACACTCTGCATTAATGTTTTTAAACCTTCCTTCTTCTTCCCGCCCTTCCCCACCCCCTGAGGACAGGCAGTTCTTCCAAACACTGTTTGCATGGCCTGTGAGTTTGAACTGCCATGGGGAGAGGAAAGCTGAGAGTATGTCTGAGCTGTCAGCCCTTCTGCACTGTGACAGCCAAACCTAGGTATAAATGAAATGGCCCCAGCCATGCTGAGGATCCAGCCATGCCCCTCACCTCCTCCAACACATACGTGGTGGGGGTGGAGGAGTCTGTCATGACCCCTTGCTGGGATTCTCATCTGCATCCCCTGACACACCTGCTGGGTTTTCTCATTTATGAGAAGACTGGGAAACTCCACCCAGATCCCTGTAGTACCAAGGAAGAGGCTTTAAGGCATGGAGTCTGCCCAAAGTCCTGCCCTCTTGAGAAATTCCATCTCAAAAGCAAACTTGGGGTTAGAACTGTAGAGGTAACATGTGCGGCTCCATCCTGCCCCACCTGACTTCCCCATGCATGAGAGAGGGCTGGATTCCTGCCAGGTGGTGAGGAGGGGGCTGGCAGGAGAGACAGGAGGAGTTAGCTGGCTCTCTTCCTCTCTGGGATGGACACACTGGAATTCATGAAGAGAGAAGCAAGCAGAGGTGATGTTTGTAATTGCTCCATCTCTGGAAGTAACAGGATGGGAAGCTGGTCAGGTGACATTTGGCTACAAAAAACTTGAGAAAAATGCTCCATTTGGTATAGATTTGACCGTGGCTTTCCCCTTCTGATGGAAGAAGCAAGGGTTGGCATCCTTCTGGTGACTGAAGCAGGAAGATGCTGGTCGGGGCTGAGAGTGAAGCAGGGTGGAGGAGACTATTCAAGGTCACAACACACCAGCTAGCGGAGCTGCCAGGGTGTTTTAGACCACTGAGTCCATGTTGCTCTGTGGGTGGGCGTTCCTCACATGGATTTTGTTCTTAGAGTTGTTGTATTGGCCCTGGTAACAGGTGGGGCCAAAGGTAGTGTGTCAGTTATTTAGCAATTGCTTAAGCCCAGGGGAGGACAGCTTGCAGGAAGGTATTTCCATATCCTAGTTCTTCAGAGTTGCATTGTGGTGGTGCTTCTGCCATGAGCTCAGCTGCAACCTCTCTCTCTCTCTCTCTCTCTCTCTCTCTCTAGCACACAAAACACAACAAGGCCTGCAAAACTGCCTTTCTGAATTTTTGCAAGACCTGATTAGGACATACCACAATCTTGTATCTTCCAGTGGCACTAGAATGGGTCAGCAGCCTGCCTACCATCCATGCCCTGTGCAAGTGGGAGAGTCTGAGGACTCAGTCATGCCCCAGAAAGTGAGACGTTACCATGGTGTGCTCTTCCTTCCTGCTCCTGAAGGGCCAGTTCAGAGGGACAAGCCTGTCACCTTCCAGCAGGTGAAGCAGTAGTTTGGAAGTGCACTGAGCAGGTGTCCCTCCTGTACTAGGGGTATGGTGGTGGTCTGCATGCCACACAGGCTGCGATCTGTGGTGATCAAACCTGCTTCCCGTATGAGAAATCACACACACACCAAGCCCCCAAATGGCACCACGACATGAATTCCTGGCGGCTTGGGATCCCCGCTTATGGGGGTATGCCTGCACTCTCCCCACCTCCCCCCAAAGGAAATCAACTTCTTTGTTCTTCCATAGCTCCTATCTGTTGCTGAGTTAGGTGGTTAGTTATCAACAGGTATGAAGTGCAGTCCCTTCCAGGTAATATGGTTTCTTCTTATTGGAGGGGAAGCTTTGAAAGTCTTTTGCTATGTGAAATTGTAATTATATACAAAAAGCTGAGCAGCCAGTGTAACGAATCCCATGTGTGTGTGAATCACTAGCCTCCACAGAGCACACACTGCCAATCTCGTTTCGACTCTCATCCTGCCTCGTGATGTTTTTGTTGTAGATCCTGGACATCATATCGTATCATTTCATCTGTAAACATTAAGGCATGTCTCTTGTCAAGAAGAGGACTTTGAAAACACACATAACCTCAGGACCTCCCCTATCTAAAAAAACCTGACAGTCATTCTTGAATGCCTGTGAATAGTCACATCTTCTCTGAGTGGCTCCGGAGGTTCTGGTTTGTTGCATGAGCTGGGCTCCTACCCTATAACTTCTTGACCTGTTTCTTACGTGTCCTTTCCTTTGCAGCAACGGTTGGGACACTTGGGTGTCTGTTGGAACAAGCTGGGAGCCTGTGGGAAGAGAGTTCTGGATGCTGCAGAATGTTCTCACAGTCTCCATTGTAGCATCTCTTGATTTAGACCTCCCCTCGCTCTCCCTCCCTCTCTTCTTATACATCGGCAGTTCTCCCTGCTGCAGGTTTAATGCCACTGAAGCTAGATGGCATTTGGCGAGGCTTCCCGCGGGAGGGCGTGGGTGACTATTGCAGAGACTCGTTCTATGCTGAGAAGCTGCACTTATTTCCCAGCACTATTTTTTTTTTCATTGATTAGCTGCTTGGCTTTAGAAAACAAAAAATCCCTTCATCACTTATTTGGCTACTCAGAGATCTGATTTATATAAGGGACTGGACAAAGGCACTTGTTGACTCGTTCCCTCTCATTTTCCACTCCTCAAAATGAGCTAGTTCTCTGGCAGCTCTTTCAGCATGTCCGATGAGAGCTGTTTTCTCCATGGAGTACATCATGAACTCATGGCTGATGTGGCTCAACCCATGGCATTCTCCTTCCCATTGCTCACACGGGTTGATGTTAGCCCCTTGGAAGCTGCTGCTGTGCGTTGGCTGACTCCTGCTGTCACGATCCTAGTGGTTTTCGGTAGCATCCCGGTGATCCTGTGGGACGAGATGCTTCAAGCTCATCATGCGCATTTTCTGCTCCTGCCCTGAATCAACCGTCTCCTCCCTTCCCGTAGACAATCCTTTCTCCTTCCTAGAGAGCAGTGGTAATTAGAGACCAAGGTCTAGGTGCAAGCAGTGCTCATTAATAGCGGTTTAGGTCTTTACTTCTTGACTTCGGTGGCTACGGCTGGGAAATACAAGCACGCACTATTGCTAGTTTTTAAACTTGCATCTTGCCAAGATGAAATACCCCGAGAGTCCGCAGATACTTCAGTTCAGCTCAGGACCACAGTGGATTTTCTGTGTTTGTTTTGGTTTTACATAAACTCCTTGATCATCTCTCTATCCTCCCTTCTCCCATTTGAAAATCGGTTCAAAGACACCAGAGATGCATCCCATCTCCACCTCACCAGAATAAGGGCACATTTTCAAAATGACAATGCCAGAACTGCTACAAAAGCCTGGTTTCCAGAAACAGTGCCAACGGCTTCTGTTGCAATCCTTTTTCTGATCTTGTGTTTTATGTCATTAAAGGGCGTACTGGCCACTTGCTGTTTTAATGTCACTTTTAATAGTTCCCCTGTCTGTGGTGATGCTTAACTAGAATCAGGGTAATTTTTATTTTATTTTGCTGAAAATTTTAGAGATTTTTTTTTTAGTCTTAATCTTGTTTTATAATTATGTGACTGTTTACATAGATCCAAAGTCAAATCCAAAATTAGGTATAATTAGTCACAAAGCTCCAGCTTCTCTCCTTCTTTTTGTTTTCTTCTTTTTTCTTTTTGTATTCTTTCCTTCTTTTTGCCACAGATTTTTTCCTTTTACTCTTCCATCACAATAAAAAAAAAAGCAAACGAGGTGATAAATGGTAGCTACTTCAAACTTTCTTTGAATCTAATTCTTTTGCTGCTTAACAATGCATTGCTATCACTCCACAGAACCATACAGTATATCTCTATTGTAAAATGCTCTATTACAAGATCATGATATCATTGCTTATTCAGCACTCATTCCATTTGGTTTGCTTCCAGTCCTTCGCTATTAAAAAGTATTGCAACAATATTTGTGTGTTCTTTTATATTTTTGCCTTTATATGTTTGGGGCCAATGTTTCCTCCACAAGACTTTGCGGATTTTCCATCCCCAACAGCAATGTATGAGAACTCCCATTTTCAAAGTCAAAGAAGGTCTCTGTGGTGTCCCTGGTTCTCTCACTTGAGCCCAGGTACCAGTTCTGAGGGCCACCCAGTCTACAGCAAGCCCTGCGTCTGTCTTGGACCCTGGGTGGCAATCAACAAACCCCAGAAGGGATGCCAGGCAAGCCAAGTAGCTTGTGCATCTTCAGCAATGAGAAGGGAGGAGGGTTGGGGATGATTTTTAAACATCATTGTATTTTCAAAGTACAACACCTGCCCCAGTGCAGAACACAAGATGTTAGCTCAGAGTCACAGTGAGTGAATATTTGATGGAGAATCTGAGCTTGTGAGCAAGGAGAGAGAAGAGACTGTCTGAGATCTCTCCCCGCCAGCAGGTGACTCTGCTTCAACCCAGCTCCCATTGCAGGGGTCAAAGGATGAACACGGGTGACCTTTCATCTCTGAGGGCTTGTGCACTGCACGAATATTCCCAAATGTGTGTTGCATTCTAGGCACAGCTGTAACTGCTGGAGATACAGTGGATGCAAGATGGCCAAAGATACTGAAGTCATGGAGCTCGTGTTAGAGTAGGGATATAAACAAGAGAAGCATGTGTTTGCTTATCAAGAAAGGTGAACGCTATAAAAATAAAACGTGATGAAGAGGCATGCATAGTATGGACTATATGTATCCCCTAAGTAACTTGGATGTTGCAACTGCTGAGACTCAGCATCCTGGGTGGCCAGATGGGATAGCGCTGCAGAGCGAGGCTTAGGATGACTGTACTGAGACATCTGT